TTAGAGTGAAATTGATAAAAAAAAATATCCAAAAGAAATTTATTGATGATACAGTGAAATAGGGAAAATCGATTATGAATATCCTTGGATGTACCAGGTGACGAATCTCAGAGACGGTCAACAGCGAAGGAAGAGTCACATTCACAATGGCTAGATGACAATCGAAAGACAAATCATGCGGAAGATTGAAGATTGACGGTGTTGGGTAGGATGATCGGAAAAGTACAAGGAACAGGAAGATGGAATCGAGTGGTTTATCGAGGATAACAGAATTGATCAACACATTATACTGTATAGATGAGATCTTTGGCATAAGCTCATCACACAGCATCTAAAATGACAAACTATTTCAGCAACGGTTTCGCAAACATCATCATAAAACTACAGAACATACAACGTAACGTTGATATGACATAATTAAACATCAAACTCAAAAATGGCAATGAAGCACAATCAAGTACACAACTAACGCATGGTATGGCACAAACAATAAATTGACTAGCTGCATATATAAACACAGATAGAAAACAGTCGTGGATAAAATCCAAAACAAGTTTACATCTTATAACGAAAATCATCGAAGATGTGGAATCATACTACACCATAGAGAAAGTTGAAGTTCTAATAAGCACTAAAAAAGTTTCCAACAGAAACATACATAATGACGAGATGCGATCAGTACAAGACATAGATATGAAAGACGATGAAGAGTAACCTGAATGCGGCAAACAACGAATCATAGATGGCGGGGAATGGCAGATACACCCACACCTGATATTTGATATCAACCAAATGACGAGTCAGGAACAGTTTTCAATTGCATGGATGAACGAGCAGAAACGAAGGAGCTTTTACGAAAGGTACAATTGAGGATCACCCTAAGGTTAGGAGAAATATGGCATGAAGAAAGCACGAAATTTCCAAATGGAAGATTACCAACTCAAGCTTATTGATAATAATTTTTGAAAAATGATTCTCAAGCTCAGTAAGTAAGGGGGGATGCAACAACCCCAAATTCTAACATCAATCCTTATAGTGAATTATTCGTAATGGTTCTATACAATGTTAACATTAAATATCAATTGCAACAAGAATGGTATAACTCAACTAAACGCATAATTAATGTAAGTCATTTTGGCAAATTATGGTTTATTTTCCCGCGCAATCTTTTGTGATCAATCTTTTCTAGATTAATCTCAAGCTCAATAAGTATAGGGGGATGCAACGCCCCATTTTCCGTAAACCCAAGATTCACTGACTCAGCGTAAACGTAAGCATAGAAAAGATTAGCAAATGAATAACCACCACACGCCAAACAGGTGGAAATGTTTTCATTCGGTTATGTAAACAAATAAACATTGAAGGGCAGCGTAACGTTCATAGTGGCGCTCCAAATGGGAACAAATAACAGGGCCATGCAGAGTAGCAAAATTAAATATCAATATAAACAAATGAAGACGCCAGAGTATGTCGCTACGTTCGAACAGGGGACATGACTCATGAAAGAGACTAGAATATATGCTAATGAATTAATGAATGAACACTATGTACTAAGAATTAAGAGGCGGTGACTTAAGAGAGGCGGTTTGGCCCGCTGAGAGCATGAGAGTACACATAGAGAGAGAGAGGAGTTGCATACAAGTTATGGCAAGAATTGTGGCTTGCTAGATACAGGTATGATTGAGAGGAAGGTTCTAGAAATAAAGAGAGTATAAGTAGTAAATGGTTAAGTACATGTGAGAAAAAGGAACCACTGTATCGTTGATTTTTATATGTACATACTGGAGAAAAACTATTGTGTAGAGTTTAAGTAACAAATTCATGTATAAAAGGTTTCGAATAATAAAGAATCGGGGCAGTTGTTCTGATGAGTTTATTATCCGAGGTTTGCTAGGTGCGGACGAGCACAGTTCCAACCTCAGGATAACTGATTCATCAAAGAGCATTTTCCATACAGTAGAAATGGAATTGCACTGTCTTTCATTTTACGGAGAAAGAAAGACCACGCGAGTTGTTGCCCCACGTTGGGCGCTTCATCTGGTGACAGCGGATGCGCAACGGAGTATGGGCGCTTCACCTGACCCAGTGTGCAATGTAAGCATTAGACATTTTAAGAAATTGCGCTTGGTGTTTTTCTTGCCTGCTGTCCTCTGTCGCCATATTGTCATTATGAAAATGCCATTAGCCTTGGAATAAAATCCAAGAAATTTCAATAAAATAATGGCTAAATAAGAGATCCGAAATGATTTCCAGTGTGCATTGGTATGAATTTATGTACTGAGATCAATTTTCTGTAAAATTAAGGTAATTCCATCAAATTCATTTGATTTCTGAAACAATCTTGTTTGTTAACTTGAATTATTTTGGAGGCGCATTTATTTAACGCTCATATTATCTCAATATACACGATAACATTTCAAGCGCATATGTTTTGGAACTTCTAAAAAGTCATATATTTTCTTTAAAATTTTCACTAATGTCGCCATGAAACAAAATTGATGGCATGGTGATCTTGACACCAACACTCAAACCTATTTTTACCGCTAAAGATTTCCATTTGGAAAAAAAAGTTTCAGCAGAACAGAACAACAACAAGCTAATTTATGGCGGTTGCTTTGAAGCCAATACAAATTAAATTGGCTTTATAACTGATTTTCACAAAAGCGTAATAAAACTGCTTGGATACAATATTACTCTTATAGAGGCTATGAGAACCTTTTATAGAGTATGAGGCTTCCTGACAAAAGGTTTTAAGACAGCTTTATTGTGATTCTCAAACATGCTTTATAAACCTTATCAAGAGTGGTCCACTAAGCTGTATGACGATCTTATAGCGGTTATCAAAAGGTTGTGCTGGAGCTATTAATTTTATTGGCGGTTTTATGAAATTGATCTCAATAACCACTAATAGAGTGCAATAAAACAAGAAATGCTACTTGGGATTGCTTTCATTAATCCGAACATGGCTATAATTTTAGGTGCGCAAACTTGTTTTTCTATGGATCACTTTCTTTAGTTTAAGGTTAACTGCTGAGTCTGTTATGGATCAATTGCAATATGTTTATGGGTAATTCATACAATTTCAATGCTCATTCTTTAGAAATTTAGCGGTACATTTTTACAATTGTGTTGCTAAATTTCACATAAAATATTGATAATATTGATATTTTTTCTGGATCATCCACACTTTTTTAGGGATTTTCTCCGATGTTTTATGGATCATTTGGATGTTTTTTATGGAACGTTTTCCAATATTTTATGGATCATTTATTGGTTTTTTATATTCAAAAATATGTTTGCCCCCAGAAAGAGCTGCCAATATTATTTTCAACTTTACATAGTAAAAAAATAGAACCACCCTAACATATTACGTTTTTTCCAAATTTTGAAAATCTCTGGTCACATGTTCCTTCGGAAGGGAAGTAAAGCCGTTGGTCCCCACCCATGTGTGTTTGAATGGGTGCGATATCCTACGCAGGTGTGGAAGCTGCCTTCCTGCACATTCGATTGCGTAAATGGATGGCAATCGATGTCCTTCGGTGATTGGCACTAGATTGCGGAACAGAAGCCGACGTCAAATAAAGGATAGAAGAAGAACTGCCGCAGGAGCTTGTGTTTTGTGTAGGAATAGGGATTTGAGCGGAGTTCTCTCTGTTTATACTTTTTAGTATGACTATGATTGCCCTGAAAAGAACCTTTTGATATGAATTTTAGCTGGGACATGTTCAGAAATTTTACTCTTTTGGAAAATGTTGGTGACCGGAGGCGAATGCCACTTCGATTTGTTTCGTATACTAGTTACTTTCTGATGACTGTATTGAGGAAGCAGCATATGCATGTACGTAATTGGTGATTTAGTTAGTTATTTCGACGCTTTTGAACAATGCTTAATATTTAGCAATAGTTTCTTATAATGAGAGAGAGAAAGATTAGTTATTTTCATTTAATTCCACTACCTTATTTGCGTATCCTTGACAGATAGGCGTATTTCGTCTACAATGTGCAGACTTCTTCAGTGTCTTGTACTAATACTCGACTAAGACGCCCACATTCATCAGGAAAAGTTTCTTGTTAAAAAGCATTGCTATCGATGCGTAGAAATATTTCTGATCGATTGGTGGTAAAGTTATTGAAATTGGTTAAGGGACATCTGAGATATTAACGTTCAATATCTTTCATTATTTCGTTACATGTTCCATTTTTTCGTTTTCACAAAGTGTACCCCCATGAAGAATTCACAGACGTAGTCCTACGTCAAAATTACATAAAACCAGTTTTTGTATAGAGTCGCCCCACTGTGCAATATGGCTTAGAAGTATCTCAAAAGATTTACCTTTTGGGATCTTCTAATCAGTATTGATTAAAATTTCTAAATTTAGCCTGTAATTTTCATGTTAAGCTAAGTAGAAAATCTGTGAGCAATTTTGAAGCCTCCTGACAATCGTCCACACAACTTTTAGAAATTATCAAATTTGTATGAACCATAGCCACTGGTTGTCCATGTAAAACAATATTTACAATGAGAAAACTGAAATAATTTACATTTATTTTTTTATAATTTTAATTATTGACATTTTTAGCACTTGGCGAAATGTTTTACAGTGAAGAAAAAGAGTGAACGCTTTTACTTTAATATCAGCACATAAGCTTATTAACAGGTACGCGTGCATCGCCATTCAATTAATTCCTAAATGCTCACAGAAGAGATGTTTGAGTGGATTAATCAGTTGTTTTCGAACTCGTCTTGCTACCCAAATGAACGATACTGCACATGCAGCACTCAATGATTATTGGCATCCAGGCACTCTCCTCAAGCAAATACCAGGCCGAACGAAAGCATCGCGCATTACAGTCGCTTTGTTTTATTCCTACTCGCTTTAAACCGAAGTAATGAGTAAAGCTACTCGTATGGAGTTGAATTTGTTGTTTTTAAATCCATCAGTATATAGCCAATTCGCGGTTTTAAAATGCGTCTTCTTTTCTCTTTTCTCTCTTTGCAGTTGCAGTTTGCAGTTTTGTGTGATGCAGTCCGTCCGTCAGCCACCAGCCGTACCCTCGTTGGGTGCATTTGACTGTGGATTTCGAAGGAAATTAAACTGAAGTATTTAAATTGATCACCTCAAAGACGTTGCCGTCCGTCCGAAAGAGAGAGAGAGAGAGAGAGAGAAACACCAGCGCAGAAGAAACGAAAAAAGAAGAAAACCGTTCAAGGAAAGCAACGAAGAAGAAAAATCACATCGAGTGAAGTAACATCGAGCGCAAATTGTTTCAATTGATGAAAATCAACCAGCCGCGGGTGCTGCGCCCTGCGAGAGAGTGATCGTCATCGGTTCGGTTCCCGAGCTCGCGCGGTTTACCCTCTTGGAGTTTTCTCTTCCCCCCTCCCCAAACGGCCCGGCCACGGCCCCGGTACTGGCCCCGTGAAGCCAAGAGCCATAAGTGTTGTTTTTTTTTATTGTTTTTGTTTCTGTGCATTTGTGTTCGTGAATGCAATTCGATCCAAGCGCGAGGGGTTTGGGGCTTTTGGGGTGGTTGTTGTGTTTGGTTTTCATTTTCCATTTGTTTCTTTCGACGCCCTACAATCCTGCACCGCGCATAATAGTCTATTAGCCAGCTCCAGTCAAGTGTGAATATAGCGAGTGAATTTTAATTTGAAGAAATACATAACTTTTAGAAAACTGGATTTGAGCCGATAATTGCTCGGCGCGTTCATATAATCTAGCGGCGGCTATATCGCTGGCCGAGAAACCCAGCCCAAGCTGCTGCTGCCAAGTGCTGTTAAACTAAACGGAGAACCTTTTCTACGGCTGTCGCAAGATTAGAGCAGTAACGGTAAGTTGAAATCGGTTGCCTTTATATGCTTTATAGGTGTGGCAGAGCGAAGGTTGCTTCTGAGATGTAGAGTGCATTTCCGGTAGCGGTGTTCTCACACTCAGGCACCCATGGTTTTAAAAGACAAGAGGTCGGAGGTGTGGATTGTTAATGAGTAGGTTGTTTTGAAATATTGTTAGTATTTGAACTGGTTGGTACCGTTATGGCTCGTTATGGCTGCGATGGAAACATGTTTGTAACGCTGAAGGAACGTAACGTATTCTTAATCAATCCCCTTTCATTGAGATAAACTCAGTTACAATTCATTAGAAGATGGAAATTTAAGGCATTTTGAAAGGCGAAAGTGGTTTACTTAATTTAATATTGAAGATGTACAAAATGTAATGAACATTTCACTGGAATCCTGTTTTATGATCTAATCAAACAAAATTAATTTCAATATTAGAACTAGAATACAGCGACTCCTTCATGACACTCTTTTTGTGTGTTAATAACCACATACAGAACCATACTAATAATAAATACCATTTCTTGGCATGTGATTTTTCAAAAAATCACTTCTCCACCTTTTTAAATTTCGATTAGTCCCTGAAGAATTGGTTAACTACCCGCACAAAGTCTGAGATCAACTAAATTTGATGTTGTGGTGTTGCATTTCCAGGTGAAATGTGCCAGAAAAAGTCAAAATCTGTCACGACTCTATCCGATTTCAAGACTAATTTTTATGTGTTATCACATATGAACTTTTCAAAAAATAATAACTCTAAAACCGTTTATTGTATTGAAATTGTGTCTGAGAAAAAGATGTTGAAAATTGATAGGAGTTTAGTACACAATAAAAAAAACATGTTCAATTTTTGAAAAAAATAAAATAAAAATATAAATTTTTCACCATTACACAAATTATAACGGTTAATACAAGATGGAGCAATTTCAAATAAATAAGTTCCTGGAAGAAAAACTTCGCATGGTAGTTTTGAGGCAAAAACATGAGACTTAATATTTTAAAAAATCTCAAAAACGGAAAAAAAACGTCTTCCTGGATTTATTATATGTTAAGTAAGAAAGTATGAGCTTTCCAACAAATATAACCACTAGGGTTTCTTTGGTCTCAAAACTGTGAAATCCATGAAAAAAAAGGTAATGTTTTGTTAAGTATATTAAATCTCAATTGATCTTTAGCTTCATAGATAGCCCCGTTTGAATGCCATTCATTTGCTGAAAAATATCAAAAATCGCTCCTGTAGTTCAAATGTTATGTATTTTCGAAATTGGATATACAGCACTGCCGTATTAACGTTAGGGCGATTATGAGGTACAGCCAGGGCCCCCAAAATGGAGGGGAGCCCCCGGCTCAGAGACATCCATCATATCCTTCTAATATGAAATTAATCGCTGGTTAGTTTTGTATTTATTTAGTGTTCAATACTTGCTTTGAAAACATTAAATAATCAAGCATATAAGTTGATAACATGAAAAGAAAAATAAAAACTCTCGCACTCACTTAGAAATACCTAATCTTACACGTGACGGAATCCATCTTTGACATAAATGATGAGACGTAAACAATCATATCATGTAAAATTAAGTGCTCCGAAACTGAAAAGATCGAAAGTGCGATTGATTGAGCTGAATTTCGCGTTTATTATGACTCAATTTTATGTCAAAATTGACGCTCGTATATGTCAGTCTCACAGCACCTTAATCTACATCAATTTATCTAAATGTACATATAGTGTCAGATTACAGAAGAATATTATAATATTTCTACACCTCTACGGTTTTCGACAAAGTTGTTCGGTTTACAAATCACCAAGGGGTAAGTCACAGAGCACATTGTGCGAAATAAGATTGGGCACAGCTTAGGCACATCCATCGGCACACCTTTGGCCCAATCTCGTAGGCATTGGATTGTTGTAAACAAAATGGGAGCACTGTTGGATAACTGTCATTGCAGTTGTTCACAACAATACGTGCTGTTTGACTGACTGAGGAACTTCGACCAGCAGTTAACTTATAAATCTAAATAAGAAATGTCGGTTCTAGAGTGGGCTGAAGAGAAAGGGGCAGTTAATTAGACCCCATTATACCCATAATTCAAATAATGCTGCAACTCACACAAAACAAACAACATAAGTCTCTACATCATCCTCTATAGTCGGTCTCCAACAATGTTCCCCACCGTTTCCAACGCTTTTCGGCCGCTGATAGACCGTTGCTTTTTACATCACCAAAGGTTAGCTTTTCTGGTCTGCCTTTGAGGGCATTATAAAACCCTAAAACACATCCTATGAACGCAAAACACCAAAATTTCGCACACCCGCCACTTCTAGAGTCATCCTCAATGCGATTTATCCTTGCGATTTCAAACCAAAACATTCAAGGTGTCAGAAAAACCGGGTTGCCGGGATGGATATTTTACAAACAACCTATGACCGGCACCGGTGTGCGAAATGACCTACCCCTTGCAAATCTCCAACTTTTTAGGGTTTCTTGTTCCCACCGCCTTAAACAAACTTGATTTATATTATTAATAGAGCGTCCTAGGGAGAGAGTTTCTTGGATATAGTTGTGAATTTCATAATATTGAGAAAGGCATCAAGGATCTTTGATTAACAAGAAGTAAGCCTGAATTTAACGTATGTAGGTGAAAGTCTAGGATTCCGATACTTTCTTGCTGGGATAGGATGGAGCAATCCATTTCTTACATACAGATCTTGAATCATAAATTTCTTACGTTGGTGATGATTGTGATCTGCATTGAACTGTAATGTTTACGTTCGGTGAATGTTTGAACTAAGTGTGTGTGTTTTTTTCCAATGCACTATGATCACAAAATTATCTCATTTGTTTTTAGCGGTGTTCGGAAAATCATTCTCAAATTGGGGGCGACCTCGGCGTAGTGGTTAACATCCATACCTCTCACGCCAAAGTCACGAGTTCAAATCTCACCCCCGGACAAGTCACGAATGACCCAAGAGTGTTAAAGTGACTATAATAATTAAAAAATAAAAATAAATTCTCAAATCTCATTCATTGAATCTCTCTGCGAAAATAAACTTGCGTGCGAATGCGGCAAATTCACGCTTGAGATTTTTATGGATATTCACACACTGACACTCATAACGCCGAAAAATCATTTCAGCTCAATTTTTCAATTTTTAAACCTGAATCGGTGATTTTTGTGACACTGGTTTTTAGTAAGCCAAAACTGGAAACTAGAAGAAGATTAGTTCTACAAACTGATTATTCCATGTGCAATGAACCCAAGTAGCATTGCAAGTTTGAAAATTGCAAAATTGGTTTTCCCAAATGTGTAAATAATCCTCAGGATATTTATTTCAATGATCAAATGCTCAATATACCGTATGCGTGATAATGTTTGCACCATTGAGCAATGTCAAAATTAAAAAAATTCTCAGAAATTTCGTCAATGGTCAATGTTTGTCTGAGGCTTGCTGTACTTGGGTGGCGTTTAGATCAGCCTTCATGACGCGCCATATTGAGTAACCCAGCGGATTAATATCGGGGCTGTATGGCGGCCACATATCCTTCGCCCGGAACGGAACATGTTCCTGCAACTACTTCTGAGAGCGGTTCGAGGTGTGGCACGGAGTCCCATCTTGTTGGAATACAACATTTGGCTTCGGACCGTATTGTTCTTTGATCCACGGAAGAACATTCTTACTTAAAATCCCGATTTAGACCTCCGTGTTGACCTTGCGCCTTCTGGAATGAACATCGGGTCCATTTTTTGCCATCGGAAGCCACCAATCTAAACACCATAACGCTAGCAGGATGCTATCTGATCACGTTCTTGTGCTCGTCGGCCACGTCTTTTACCGGAAGAGAACTAATATACCGGTCGGTTCTGGAATTTGATACGGAATCGAGGGTAAACATGCTCTTGTCGGTGAACAAAATTACCGGATTTTTTCGCTTAAGGAAGTTCAAGATTTTCTTGCATTGTTCGACTCGTAGCTCCCGGAAGCGGTTGGTAATCATGTGAGTTTTTTTTTCCGTGCCCTCGACTTCACCCCACAATCTTCCTTTACGATCTTCCGTGCCGTAAAGTCACTGATCCCGTGTTCCTTTGCCATTTTCCTTATTGAACGCACTGGATTAACCCGAATCTTCCTTTTGATAGCAGCGATAACGCTCGGAACCCGAGCTGACCTCGGACGACCTGTGGCCACCTTCGCGGATAGTTGTCCTTTCTTTTCTCGGTCTAAAACCCTTTTGACGGTCCACCGGGACACTCCCACGGCGATTGAAATGTCTTTTTGCGACATTTCCGCGTGGGACAAATAACGAATACGCTGCCACTTCGTCATGGTGCAACTGTCAAACTAAGTAAATCATTTTCTTTTATACACAGCCTACTACGGTATGAGCTATAGGTTACGTGCATTGACTTCTTGCCGCAAGATTTCACCAATACAACGTTGCTAGTGTAGCCGTGTAAAATCGATTTGTTTATTATTTTCAACCACGAAATCAGCTGTCAAAGTGTTCGACTTGACAGCGGTTTGTTTTTTATTTTCAACCAGTAAAATTCTTGTATTAGTGAAACTGCTCACTAATACTAAAGGTGGTAAAGGGTGATACGGTCAAAATTTGGTCAAGGGAAAACGCGTGTAAATCGGTGAAATCGTTTATTTAAAAAATCAAATTAAATTTCTTTTTCAAGTTCAATTAGTATAAAATTCAGGAAAAATATTCAGTTAGGCTTCCGCTTTTCCAAATCCGAATTGCCGGGCCTTACGCTTGACCCCTGCCATCAGATTTTGTACAGCCACCTTGTCCACCTTCTTCGCCGCAGAAAGCCAGTTTTCCTTGAACTGCTGCTCGCCCTTAGCAGTTTTTTTGGTCTTCTTTAGGTTCCGCTTGACAATAGCCCAGTATTTCTCAATTGGGCGGAGCTCTGGCGTGTTGGGAGGGTTCTTGTCCTTGGGAACCACCTGCACGTTGTTGGCGGTGTACCACTCCATGGCCTTTTT